ATCCAGCGGAAATGAGTCTTCGGTCAAACGAAATTATTTGACATGGCAGAATGAATATTAGTTTATGCAAAAACTGCTCAAGGCAACGACATTTTTACTTTTTTCTAAAATTCATTTCCAAAATGTTTTTGACAGTCAAACGCAAATTCAGAAAAAGGCACAAATTTCTGCATCTATATTGGGTAATTTAAATATAAAATAGTTGAGCAGGATAAATATTCACCTGAAAAAGGATCTAGACTGATCCAAGACCCTTCTTTGAATTTCTAAACTGATCTCTCACTTTGGTTTACATAATTCATGAGCTGCTCGGGAGAGTAAAGGTTACCCGAACCTAGTCTTGTTTTCACGTTAATATGTCATTGACATATACCCATTTGTTTAACTTGTCTTACGTTACATCCTTGTAAAATACAATCTACAATTCAAAGAGTTGTTTTATTTTTGCAGAGAAACACTTCAAAAGTGTTTTTCCAGAGGTTAAAATATGTCAATGCCGCTTTAACATATCCGTATCTTTCATAAATTCTGCAAACGAAAAAAAAAGAACTTTATTTACAAAACGGAAATATATTTCATATATGTGGTGATTGGTGACCGTTAGTCGATAATTATTCAGAAATCATGAGATATGGTCTGGTGTGATGTAGGTTTCAGAAAAATATTTTCTTTATCGTGCCAACGTTTCGATCTTTAATTGTGGAAAATTTAATAACACCAATAACAAATAAATCTGACTTAATGTACAAAATCAATTATTTAAACTGTCCGGCAACCTACATCGGTCTTCCATCCCAATATCTGGACAAGAAAGTAAAGCTACATATCTATGATTGCAAAGAACTTAAGCAAAATCCTACAGCACTCGCTACCCACCATTTTTAAAACAAACACAATTCCGACTTCAACAGTCCAAAAATATTACACATAGAACAAAACAAACATAAACGTAACTTTCTAGAAACGGTTTACATCAACAGAGATAAACACAGGATCAATTACAGAACAGATACATGTAAACTCAGTCGCAGCTACGCCAATATCATTAATCAAATTCAAAATGGATAACATACATATATCATCTCATTACATTTCACACATCAAACATTTTTCACATAGTCTAATTTTTCAACAATTTAGCTTTCCTTTTCCTATTTATCCCCTTCTATATAATCCTGAAAGGATAATCTGGCCGAACCATTACCAACGTTTTTTCCCTTCGTCGGCTCTTTTCACCTCAAAGAAGCCGACGCCTTATACAAAAATGTCTTTTCTATACCGACTTCCTTCCCCACCCCTTCAAAATCCAACGTGTATAAACATAAAACAGCAATATTCCACTAGTACTCTCAACATGACACGCAAGAATGGCACAATTACACAGAAGACAAACACTTTGAGTGAGTAGAAATACTTTGATTGAATATAAAAAATATATTTTGCATTGTGTAAATTCACTTTTTTCCCACATCCTACATGTATTTGTTAAATTTAAATCCCAGGCCCTGAAGATGATCTCAATAAAGGTCGAAACGTTGGCACGATAAAGAAAATATATACTTGGGGAAGTATGACTCAAAATAAAAATATTAAAAAAACAGTGCTTATACAGCATTGGTTATTAACCTTTCTGCTAGAGGTGGCTGCCAGATGAGATTCACTTGAAATGAATTGTTACTGTTCAATAGAATTTTTAGACAAGACTCTATACGGAAGGTCGAACTGAATTGCTCTTCATCAATAGTTCTCAAACAGTTTTTGGTACAATGAAAATATTTTCCTTAAGAAGTTCCGTTTGTGACATTGCGACGTGTTTTTATACATGGCTCAAAGCTTATTACTGGAACAGGGTTCAATTTAATGTTTGGAATGGCCAATGTAGTCTCGACGGATTGAACAATTTCGGATGTAAGGTATTTGCAGAAATTGAAAACTACACTGTTGGAGTAGTATGAAACTATTCGACAACACTATGTTTAAAACCTTAAGCTACCTGAAATAGGTGGTGATCACCGGATAGTACGTAATGAATCAGCAAATGAGCAAATGTAAATAACGCAATTTATTGCATATGTAAACATAGCAATATTAGGTGCACTGTTCAATTATTTAAAAAGTGGTGATCTTGCAATCTTTTATACTTTACTGTCGAACTGTAATAATAAGTCGACATTAATGCATGTACGTAAAGGTAACATAATCCCAAGCCATTATACAATTTGTTTGGCCAGCAAATTGTTTATTCTGTAAGATAATATCCCATAAGGGAAATTGGAAAAGGTGAAAACAAAACGACGAAGGCGATTTAATTATCAACAAAGTTATTATAATCGAAACCATGGTGTACAACAAGAGGAAAGGGTAGATATTGGTAAAAGAGGGCGGGGTTGAGAATACAAAAGGGGTCGAGGTCCGCATAACTTATATGGGGACTTGGCACAGAGTCAACTTCCTCGTACAGAGGACTTGCCCAATCAGACGGAGGCGGCCATTCTACAACTCCCCTATATATTACTTTACTTTCCATTAACACTCCTTTTCCTTCTCTTTTCTTTTCCTCCGCTTCGTCCTTGTCGGACTCCTATATCTCTTAAGAAAACTGCAAACTTAAATTGTTTCCTTTTTATTATTGGAGGTGGAACAATCAAACGACGATCAACAGTGTTATTTTTTCCACCTTCCCTTAAGATTTAGTACAATTAATTAATCTTTTTATGTAAAGTTTTGGTTGGAATGAAAAAGTTAATGACACGAGCAGGATTCGAACCACGACCTTCAATACGCCGCTGTACTAACCACTTGAGCTATCGTGACTTCGATCTACTCGGACACAAACTCCCCATCTCAACCCACAACCTTTCGAATTTTCCCTCCTTTTTGCCATTTTTCAAATGTTGTGTAATCAGGATTCGATTCTCGGCGACATTTGAAGTGGCCAGGGTGGTGTTAGTGAAGTTTCACTTCGTTTTAATTATTAAATCCATTATATTTAGTCTGATTGACCAAATTACTTATTTCAATTAATTAATCTTTTTATGTAATTTTTTGGCTGAAATTTAAAGCAACGGCGTATTGAGCCGAAGGTGGTGTGTTCAAATTCCTAACTTTTTCATTTCAACCAAAACTTTACATAAAAAGATTAATTAATTGAAAGAAGTTATTTGGTCAATCAGACCACTAAATATAATGGATTTAGTTCAATATTCATGTCTATACTTGATGTTGAAATTTTAATGTTTTTATTATTTTTTAATCCTTCTGAGAAAAAATAAGGTGAATATAATTAGACTGTCAAAACAGAAAATTAAGTTCAAAGCGAGAAAAAGACAAATGAAAGGCGCTACAGCCAACAGTTTTGCATGACTTAGAAGATATGCGGGTTTAGTATACTCATGGAATGTGGTCTATGGTTTGGCCGACCGAGTATATTTACAATCCATATATAATTGACCTTATAATTATTTTAATTAATATAATTTTAATCTAAGGCCTTGGTTGAGATGAAAAAAACAAGTGTCACGAGAGGGATTCGAACCAACGACCTTCAGCTGAAGGTGTAATTAATTATAGTGTATTTAGAATGCTCTTCTTCAGGGTTCGGATCCCGGCTTAGCCAGTAGAATTTTATGGAGGGTAATACGAAAAAAATTATAACGTCAATGAATTTTTTTTTGACAAAATTTTCAAAAAACATTTAAAGAAGAATACAACAAATACATTTCCCACGTAATAAAAACACAGAATTAAATTTTGAAAATGTTAATAAAATTGAATGTTTTTGATCATGAACATTTCCTCAAAGTATTAAACTTCATACCTATCACACTCCTACATAGTTAATAAATTATTTATTAGATTCGCTTGTATATTCTTTTTCTAAACGCACATCGAAATGGACAGATTTTGGATCATTTAGTTAATTTATTTATTATTCGTTATTAATATCGCTACCACCTGTAATAATACAAAATATTAGTGAGCATACCACTGTTTAATCACTTATGGCAAATAAATGAAAGTAATATTGTGAGCATTCGTTCTTTTAGGTTCAATAATGATTTTGAAAAGTTTGTTTTTTACATATGTTGATATTACATTGATGACATTTTTATGTTTTATATTATGTAAAGTTTTGAAATATCACATATCCAAAATGTTCTAAGTGTAAGTATTTCTACCATATATTTAAAAATTGCAATTATGAAAAAACAATCCCAAACGAAGATACCTCTTTTTTCTCGATTCTCGATAATAGCAGACATCTAGCTGACCATTGCCGTTCCTTTTGGTAAAGTCGACTTTTGAACATAGTTTGTTACATGCTTTATCTCGATATGATACCTAAGATACCTAGGCAGGTCTAAGTTAAATATTTAACAATTTGGTGACTATCTGCATAAGTGATACGTTTATGGTTGTATAACGTTCATAAATATATCGTCTATTGAATGCCACCTCAAAGCAAAACTTAATTTTAAGAAATTCTGTGATTAAAGGCCCAACAAAATTGCTTTTGTGAAGGAACCTAAAAAATAAGATATGGGATTTAATAATGATTGAATATTTTTAAATAATTTAATTGAATTGTTCAACTCAGTAATAACTGTGCATTATTAAGTATTTATAAAAAATATATATAATAAAATTCATTTCAAAATTTTTTTGCCGAAGTTGTGGCAAAAATTTCTACAAACGGTGTATTCAAACAAATGAATTTCATTTATTTTATTAGTTTATTGATTGAAAATAATATATTGAAAATTACAGCAATAGGATTAATAATTTGTCATAAATTGATGGAGATATTTACCAATGCTTTTAATACTTCTCCTTTATTCTCTATTTCATTCTTTGCCTATCAATGTTGTTCTTCTACATAATCTAATCCTGCATTTATGAAAGAGAAACTTTTACTGAAACTTATTATAGGATATAAATCTCAAATCCGCAATTCATTCTTAAAGTGATAGTAAAGTGGAAATATTTTTGTTTTGTTGCAGATCGACTTGAAGCACATAAATCAGACGGCTGGAGTAGACAAAGTGGATGTAGGCATAGATCTACGGGAGTACTACCCAAGTGTCGAGTGGGACATTCTTAGCGTACCAGCCGAACGACACACAAAATACTATCCCTGTTGTCAAGAGCCATATATAGGTAGATGATATTTTTCATCACCTCATAAATCTGTGGTTTTTTTCTGAACATACCCCCTTTAAATGGATTTTGGAATCATGAAGTGGCCATTTTACCAATATCGAATTATGAATCATTGCAAAACCGGCTTCTATCGGACAATTCGCTTTTCCTCTGAAGAATCAATCCCATGCCGAATTTCAGATTACGATAAACCACATTTTCTTATCTCAAATGGAACATAAATATTGGATATCGCCTTTTGGTTTCACTGGGTATCCTTGGAAGGTAGATTTCTCTTCTTAACGCCGGCCGGTACCTTGCCCACTTTTTGTACTAAAGAAAATGGTAGTGGTCAAACTAATGAAAAAATTAAAAATGACAAGATAAATGGAACCTACATATCAACACCATATTTATTTTGCCATAGATGGAACTTTTAGCCTCTCTCTTCTCTCTCTCTCTCTCTCTCTCTCTCTCTCACTCTTTCTCTCTCTCTCTCTCTCTCTCTCTCTCTCTTTCTCTCTCTCTCTTTCTCTCTCTTTCTCTTTATTCTCTTTTGTTCCTCTCAATTCTTCTTTTACTTTCTATCTATTTATATCTATTAATACACCTAGCATCTTTTTTTCAGTTATCTTCCTGTTCCGTCTACTTTTCCCATAATTCAATAAAACCTCTGCAACTCTTAACTATGTAAGTTTCTTTGAAGAATCATTTTTTCTCCCAAGAGTCTGTTTATTCATATATTTTTTCTTTTGAGTTTACTTCATATTTTCTTTTTTCTTTTTTGGTCTCTTGTTTGTGAATTTCTCACCATTTTTTTAAGCAAACAACTAAAGAAGTCTCAAAGTATTGATATGTTCTAGTTTGTATGAGTAATAATTTGCGTTTGATAATGGAATAAATCAATTTTCTATTCTTGTTGCAAGCCATGTCATTTAACAATTTTGTTTTATATCTTGCTCTCATGCACTTATTTACATCACTAATTTGCTAATTTTTATTTCCATTTAATTGTGTTTGTTTCAGATATTTTCTTCAACATAACACTGCGCCGAAAAACACTTTTCTACACGGTAAATCTAATTGTTCCCTGTGTCGGAATTTCTTATCTATCGGTCCTAGTGTTTTACTTGCCAGCGGATTCTGGCGAAAAAATCGCCCTTTGTATCACAATCCTTTTGTCCCAGACAATGTTCTTCTTACTGATTTCCGAAATCATTCCTTCGACATCTCTCGCGCTACCCCTTCTTGGGAAATACCTGGTTTTCACTATGCTTCTAGTCGCGCTGTGCGTTGTAATAACTATATTAGTGCTCAATGTCCACTACCGTAAGCCGAGTACGCACAAAATGTCCCCATGCGTCAGAAAGATATTCATTAGGTGCCTCCCTAAGTTGTTGTTGATGAGAGTCCCCGAGCCCATGTTGGCCGACATAGCGGCAAAAAAGAGCATCATTAAAGCAAAGTCGTCCGGGTTGGGACTCGCGATTACACCATCCGGCGACTCATCGCCCGATTCATTGCGACATTTCCCATCCCGTCCTGGAAGGTGCAACGGGCTCCACTCTGCATCCAGCACCACCCACAGATTCAGCGGCCTCATCGGGGCCCTAGGAGGCTCCGGATACAACGGCCTCCCTTCGATGGTCGGCCTAGACGAAAGTCTCAGCGTTGTCGCCATCAGGAAGAAATACCCTTTCGACCTCGAAAAAGCAATTCACAACGTCAAATTTATTCAACACCACACCCAACGGCAGGACGAATTTGATGCTGTAAGTACGTCAAAATAATATGATATCAAAAACAAAATTTCCATTTCAAAACAAACATTTATTTTAACGTGTGGTGATTAGTGACCGTTAATCGATAATTATTTAGAAATCGTGAGATGCGGTCTGGTGTGATGTAGGTTTCAGAAAAACATTTTCTTTATCCTGCCAACGTTTCGATCTTTATTGAGATCATCTTCAGGGCCTGGGATTTACAAACATTGTTTACATTTAACAAATACATTTTGGATGTGGACAAGTGAATTTATACAATGAAAAATATATTTTTTTATATATTCAATCAAAGTATTTCTACTCACTCAAAGTGTTGTCTTCTGTGTAATTGTGCCATTCTTGCGTGTCGTGTTGAGAGTGCCAGTAACTTCAAAATAGCTTTCAAAAATTATAAAACAATTCAAACACTTTTTTCCAAAATTAAAGATCCCACACCAATAACAAATGTGTGATCTCAATAAAGATCGAAACGTTGGCACGATAAAGAAAATGTTTTTCTGAAACCTACATCACACCAGACCGCATCTCACGATTTCTAAATAATTATTTATTTTAACACAAAGCTCAATTCACATAATATTTTTGTTTTATTTTCCATGTTTTAAACTGACTTTACTGTTTGTCGAGGTCTAGAATAAAAGATTGTATAGTTTCAATTTTATTATTTAACATCGATCATTACAGCAATAAATCGAAAGTTTGCTTGTTTTAAATTTCTCAGTGCTGATATTTTATTTCCATTTAAGTAAGAATTAATGTTAAAAGCTTTTTATTTACATTGTTTAAAAAAACCTCGTCTATAAAAATCACCGCTCTTCCTGAACTAAACAGAAAATAGTGACAAATAAAGATATTACAAAATTCAAACCGAACATATGAGTAATATTTTATAACCACACAGTGGTAATTTTTTTATTATTACTATTATTACAGAAATTGTAATCGTGTTAAATTTTCAACTAGATTTTTTAAATTCCTTTCAAAGTAGAAATGTTTTGTAGAATTTAACTTAACTATTAATATTTCTTGTTATTTCAGGAGGATCAAGACTGGGGTTTTGTTGCAATGGTGTTAGACCGTCTGTTCCTGTGGGTATTCTTTTTGCTTAATATTGGAGGAACAGTACTTATTCTCTGCGAGGCACCGTCACTGTACGACGACACGAAACCAATCGACAAGGAATTGTCGTCAGTGGCCCAACAGCAATTCCTGCCAGAAGTCGATTTTAACTAAAAAATACGTGAATTGTTAAAACAACTACGGCTCAATCCTAGTAATAAAAAATTAAAGTAATTGTAAGACAAAAGTCCCATTTATTATAATGTTGTTGTTATTTTCAATGTTATCTCGATCGAGCCTTTGAATAATTTAATGTTCAATGACAATCGTACTTGTCAAATGTCAGGAATATATGAAACTTTCGTTGATTTGTACAGTAAAACCTCTGTCGATTAATAAATTATTAGATACGTAACCATTGTATGAACGATGACATTGACATGTTACTAAATTTATAATATTGAAATTATTAAATTAAATATTATTAATACAAAGATCCATGACGTAAAATCGTAAATTTGTGAAAAATAATTTATGTACAGAAATGTCTTTGAATAAGAATGTATGAAAACAAATGTTACTGAAATTATTCATCTATGAACATTTATCTTCAAATTTACAAATGTAAATGTAGAGAATGATTATTAGTGTTACAATTAAAGAATATTAAGACAATATCAATTACTTTATAAATTAAACAACCCAGTATTTTGTACAAACGGCCGATTCACTGTTTTTTTACGAAAGGAATTTTAGCTTTACATTATACACTAAAAAAATTAAATAGACTGTATTAAAGCAAAGTGTACTGGGTCATTTTTTACTAATATCATAGCGTTACACTTAGGTAATATTGCCAAAGTGATAAATATTATTATATCATTGTAAATAATTTATAAAAAAATTAATTTGGACATTATATAACTATGAATGATTAACAGTGTGTTATGTGAAAAAGATTAAATCGATTGTACTCATTGCAATTAAATGTTAATATTTGAGGGTTATTGGATTTTTTTCTATATCCTTTCACTATTTAAACAGTTTTAGGTATAAGGAGAACAGGAAGTAACAAAAAAAATTACTTTTTTATTAATACATAGTAGTAAGGCCACAAACAGTCATAAGTAATTGCGCAGACAGCATTACACTACTGTAAAGATGGGAAAACATGCAATCCAATTGAACAGTATAATAAATAAGACTCGACGGTCTCACCTTACAATAAAATTGGCTCAATTCACTCTGCTTTCACCTTTCTCTAGAATTTCAGCGAGGACGATTCCCATAAACATAGTGAATAAAGTTTATAGCCCAATAAAAAGTAATTCATTGTCGGAAAGGCTGGAGAACGGGCCGGTCAAAAATACTGTTTTACTTCTCTTACATTAATTGGTGTGCGGCCATCTGGAATCGTATATGCCGAAAAAGGAGGGATTCAAAATAATCGAGTTTGGCATGCGAATTTCTATTCAAAACGAAATGTTTGAACATTCACCATTTTTACATAATCAATATGGTAATATGGTAGCAAATACCATCTTAAGAAGGTTTCAAGTCCTTAATAATGAATAATGGGCAAACTATTAATTTCATCATGCATACGAAATTCCGAAAATATAAACTATTTCACAAGCACCCACACCAAAGTTAATAAGTGGCTTTTTATATTTACGCTGCTTATTTTTATTATAAATCTAAGTATGGTACCAAAGGTTACCAAGATTCACTTAGAATCTTCTGGTGCTATTACAATTTTAATAACGTTAAGCCGAATTGATCAACTGATTTTAAAATGAACTTTCCATTATAAAAAAGATACCATAAACTCAAACATTCGCCTATTTTTTTCTGGATATATTGGCGTTTTCCTTCAGAAATTTTGAACATCAGAAATTTGAAGAAAAAAATGTTTAAAGGCCGGCTTAACGCACCAACTTACTAAAGTTCTAATAGCATCAGCAGATTTTACGCTACCTATATTTAGTTTTACTATAAACTAAGCTACGTAAAAATTAGAAAAAAATTCTACTCGCGCGAGTACATACAGCATCGAACTTATGACTTCTCATAGCTTTCCGGCAATACTTGGTACGTGTAGAGAATAATCCATCTCGCATTTGGGCAGTACGGAGTCAAAATTCGGTCTTAGTTATTAATAATAAATCATAATTAATCGTCCCGTCACCGAAGTTAGCTTTTGGGGCTGTCGGTACAGTAACAAATTTATAAAAATACTAATTCAATAATTCAAACTGGTGAAACAAAATGTGCTCTTGAGTGAATTACGAAAAGATTGAAAGCAAAACGTTCGCACCAAAGCAAAATTTCAAATTAAACTAACTTTTTAGCATAACACACCAAGGGTAAAAGCTTCATCTAACGTGAAGTTTTATTACTAATTCGTAGCGTCCAGGTTGTGCGAAGAAGACAGCAGTCGGACTACTTATATTGTTGAGCTGTGTATCATTTTATTTATTTAAAAAAATCTAAACTTAAAATTAAAAACCAGGAGATATCCCGAGTTAGCTCATATTTGATTGAGATTGATTATTTGATTCAATGGGGTGGACGAATAACCATAACGCCCAGAGCGTTCATGAAGCCCTTTTTAAATCCTTAATTGGTAAACTAACGTTATCAATTAAATTTACAAAACAAAACCAAATGTACAAAATATTACTGAATGAACATCCGCATTGCAGAAAAACTAATCTTTTTTTTTAATTCATAATTCTTGTATAGGAGCATTGTATAGCTCACATTTATTTTATGACTGCGCGTGAGTTTGTGTTTGTATCAAAAATAATTTTTTCCTTATTGAGAACACGTTGAAAGTTAAATTATTAATACAAAAAAGTATTCGCCGCCTGTCCTGCCCAGGAACACCTCACGGACCACAGGAAAGAACAAAAATTACCCCCTACCTAAGGCAAGCAATTTCATTAATCATGAATTCGGGATTTCCTCTCGGAAAACTTGTAAACTGACAGAAAAACTCGAGAAACATTTACAAGTTAATGGATCCCTTTATAAAAAAATATTAAAATGCGAATATAATCTTTCAGAATACCGTATTTAGGCGGTCTGTCTTTTTAAAATTTGAATTTATTACAGCTGTCCATAGCATATCAAAAGTTGTAACAATTTTCATAGTAAACAAAGTAAATTTTAAATAAAAGAACAAAACTCATTTTTGAACACTCTGGATGAAGGTATGGTCTTGAAGAAGAAAGCAAATTTAGTTGCTACTGCCAAGCTTTCGGCCTATTTTAAGGTCAGCATCAGCGCAAAACAACCCTAAATATGTCTACAGATTGACATGCGTAAGATTGTTTTGCCTTAAGTGAAAAAATGATCGATACCTCTAATAAAGAAAACAATTCATTAATTTCATAAACTTTTAGAAAATAATCGAAAGTTTAAATTTTAAATCTCAGTAAACTGTTTATATTCTGCTTTTCATCGTTTTTCTTCTTTTTTCTTTAATAGGTGGTTTTATTTTTATGTTTTGTAGGTCTTATTGTGTGAAGATGTTTTAAACAAAATTCGCGATTTTACATTTCAGCGATCCTTGTGCCTTGTTAAATAAATTTGGTGTTTAGAACTTTGTAAATTAATAATTTAATAATTAATTGTGTCTATTAAAATTTCCAAAATTGTCATTAAAACACAAGCAGCTACGATGACAATTTCCCGGTTTTCATTTATGTTGTCCCACCTTGTCCTTGTTTCAATTATGTTGTAATTCTTGTAAATGTTTTGTAATGTTATAAATAAGATAAATATTAAGTAGTAAGTAAAGGTAAAATATTAAGTGGTAGTAAGGTAAATAAGGTATTAAGAATAAATATATTAATTATAAAAATATGTAAAATATTTGAAAAACGTAAAATCAAAAATTTCTCCAGAAATAAATTATAATGTACTTGAAAATGGCATTGGTCGCCAAAACATCGTAAAATCGTGAATTTTATTTAAAAATATTTTCGCTTAAGGATTACAAAAATTAAAAATAAAATGTTTATACTTTAGAAACATCTATTGGAGATAAATAGAGAAGAAAGAAATTATAAACTCGTCAAAATTGGGGACCGCGGTAGCCGAGTGGTTAGCATGAGAGACTCTCACGCCGCGGTCGTGGGTTCTATTCCCACCGTCGCCTCTGGCCCTTTTTTCTCGATAACCCCCAATTTGAACACACAAGAATTCGTACTATGGCTAATATGCAAGATCATAAGGCCATTAAAAAAAAAAAAAAAACACGTCAAAATTAAATGAGAAAGAAAATTATTAACTACCTAGGTACTGATACTTCGTATTCTCATTTCAATTTAATTTCAGTTGAATTACGAAACTATTTCATTTGAGCTTAATAAGGTGTATTTAATTTAGAAAAGTTTTAATTTTGCCATGGCATAATTACCCCTTCCTTCTCCACTGTGTAATTTATTTTCGCAAGGCGTTAAACTAAATATAAAACTTGTTAAACCGACGACGGTGAAATTTTGTAATAACTACGAAACTTAAAAACTTTATTAAAACTTATTAACACTTTGGAAAAGTTTAGATGTCGAGGAAACGATCGATAATAGATTAAGATGATTAAAGTGACGACGAATCAATAATAATTCCAGAATACAAAAAAAAAAACAAGAAATTTATTTAGAAATCGTGAGATGCGGTCTGGTGTGATGTAGGTTTCAGAAAAACATTTTCTTTATCGTGCCAACGTTTCGATCTTTATTGAGATCATCTTCAGCGCCTGGGATTTACGAACATTGTTTACATATTTAGCCGACGCCTTATACAAAAATGTCTTTTCTATACCGACATCCTTCCCCACCCCTTCAAAACCCAACGTATATAAACACAAAATAGCAAAATCTCACTGGCACTCTCGACACGACAAGCAAGAATGACACAATTACACAGAAGACAAACACTTTGAGAGAGTAGAAATACTTTGATTGAATATATAAAATATATTTTGCATTGTATAAATTCACTTTTCCACATCCAAAATGTAATTGTAATAGTAAACAATGTTTGTAAATCCCAGGCCCTGAAGATGATCTCAATAAAGATCGAAATGTTGGCACGATAAAGAAAATGTTTTTCTTAAACCCACATCACACCAGACCGCATCTCACGATTTCTAAATAAATATCGATTAACGGTCACTAATACCACACAAAAAACAAGAAAGTAAATGCACGCATAAAATTACCCTTTTAATTTTTACGTATTTTAATTTGGAAGTCCCCTACTGAAAAGACTAATTTTCACATTCTTCCCAATGCGTGGTGATTAGGGGCACTCTCGACACGACACGTAAGAATGGCACAATTACACAGAAGACAAACACTTTGAGAACTGAAGATGATCTCAATAAAGATCGAAACGTTGGCACGATAAAGAAAATGTTTTTCTGAAACCTACATCACACCAGACCGCATCTCACGATTTTTCAATAAATATTCTTCCCAATCTTAATCCCTACCCTTCAACTAGAGTTTAGTTCTCCATTCTACTGTCCAGCTGGCAGAGTAGTCGTTGCTTTATAAACCAAGCAATATTGCTAAACTGAATTTTTGGACGCTACGAAAGCATTAGGCACCACAATCTATTTTCAAGTTAAAAAATAGTCACCCTATTATTTCGTTCTGAAACCCTTCCTCTTGGATTTTTTTTTAGATTCATTTTTTCTTAAACAGACTACATTGTTCAGGCAATTCATTTACAAATGAACATTTTAAGCATTTGAATAGTTTTTTCCCCCATCCAAATATTTGAATAGTTGTTGAAGTCATGAGAAGCGGTCAAAAATGGGGTAGAGTTTAGAAAAACCCTTTTTTTCGGCGTTTCGACCTTTATTCGGTCATCATCAGTTATGATTTACATTAACAGAGACCCACACATAGCATGAATTAGAGAACAGATACATGCAAACTCAGCCGTAGCCAAACATCTTAAATCAAATAATATATTTTGAACGTTAATTTTATTTTTCCCTTTCCTTCGTTTATCGTTCTTAATAATTAATTTCCTTACCAATATTGAATCCAATCCAGAAAATCCCCATTCTCGACATCCTTTAAGTTAAATAAAACCGCCTACGATCAAAGAAATTTTCCAAGATTTACCGCGTCTCCGCGTTTTATATACGTCACAGTTATATAAAAACAGCAGAAATTCACGTTTCACAACTCTTTCACACAAAACCAATATGACACAAAAAGAATTGGACCACACTTTATATGAGTATGAAATACTTGTTTCAAAATTTATATTTACATCTTAAATTGTATTTTTTTCAATAAACATGTTTTATAATTTCCCCAGGCCCTGAAGATGGCCCGAAGAAAGGTCGAACCATCGGCAAAAAAAGGTGTTTTTCTAAAATACCCCATTCTTATCCGCTCCTCACGATTTCAACAAATTATGAAACAACCGGTCGCTAAGAAACATACATATTTGAATAGTGTAAAACAGCAATATCTCACTGGCACTCTCAACACGACACACAAGAATGACACACCTACACGGAAAACAAACACTTTGAGCCCTGAAGATGATCTCAATAAAGATCGAAACGTTGGCACGATAAAGAAAATGTTTTTCTAAAACCTACGTCCCACCAGACCGCACCTCACTATCTCCAAATAATCATTTATAAATTAATTATATGAATTTAGTAAAACACATCTTCAGTTTACTGTGTCAAAATAAATTTTGGGCACTTATTAGTTAATAATTTTTCAACTTACAGTTTATGATAAATACTAGCTGATCGTGGTGACATACTGAAAATAATATTTAACTCGGATTAGCTTATAAATGTCATTCAAACAATGACAAACATCATTTTGTATCCTTTATATCAGAACACCAAATCAAAAATAATAAATTTCTTTTTAAAAGTACATTTCATACAAATTTATAACATAATTTTTTCATTTAAAAAAATAAATAAATAAAAACAGTTGTATAGAGGGAAAAGTAAAAACTAAGAAAAAAACAGCAATGTTTTCACTATTTTATTTGCAATGCTCTGATTTATTATAGTACAATCTCAAACAAAAATACAAATAGAATGCATCATTACATACTACACATACTGTCTAGTAGATGATTCCTGTTTTTTAAAATTAAACTTTAATGAAGGTTTCATAGATATACTTGAGTTCGCATGCCATAGCTCCAATACACAGTACCACAGTAAGTTTGGTAAGAACGTTATCTATAGCACCTCCTTTAACGTAGACAGGAATGCCATCCTCAATGATGAAACGTTCCTGTAATGGCTTTATTCGTTGGTAGCCAGGGTGGACTTTGCCGGACTCCGCACGGACTGCTCCTGATGTTGTAAACTGTCGACTACTACTGGCCAATCTGAGCGCTGAACGTGCAAGTGACATTGTCTGGAATAATTTACAACTCTTTTAAGAACTTGGGAATGCAGCTTTATGGACAAATTAAACGATATAAAGTTCAATGTTAATGTAAGAAAGAATTCCAATTTCATCATTTCAACTACACCAATGAATCCCCATTTTTAAAATATAGTTCTTACCACTTATGCTACAATGAATATTTTTTCATGAATTTTTAAAAGCACAAGAGTAACAAAATATTAAATATTAACATTGTATAAATTACATTTATAATAAAATATATTAATAAAATTGATAATTAGATGGGTGCTGATAGTGCACTTCATTTGCACATTAATTAAAAATTTATTACCCACCATCAAGTTTTTAGTTGAATTGGAGAAAAAAAAAGAAAAAGTGTCAACACTGTAAAAATTGAAAAAAAAATTGAAAGTAAATGTCTTCCATTTAACTGGGTTTATCAATCAGACATGCATTCCCTATTATATTTATTACTCAATAAAAAATGGTTGCAAAGAATTGCGTGTAAATTTAATGGTTGATAAGGATAGTTCTACTTACAAACTCGTATCACCATCTTATTTTCTAGATCAAGGATGCGGCCATTGCTAAGAGTGTTGTAACTTTTTGCCAAGCTTTCGACTTCCATTTATTATTTTTCCGGGCTTTATTACATTGTCAGAAATAAAATGTCTAAGATAAAACATTATTCAAAAACCTATTTTTCACATTGTTCAGAATCCTCTAGCTCTGGGTTGTAAATCAGTTATCATTTTACAACACTGATTGCAACCCAGAGCTAGAGGATTCTGAACAATATGTAAAATAGGTTTTTGAATAATGTCTTATCTTAGCCATTTTATTTGTTTTCAGTATTAGAAGTGTCTATCACTTTTTTTCCACTTACGAACACTCTGGATGGTATAGTCTTGATCAAGACTTCAAGACCATACCTTGATGCAGAGTGTTCTTCATTTTATTTGAGGCAATGTAATGAAGCCCTGTCTGAAGAAGTCTAAATAAAGGTAGAATGCTTGGTACAAATGCTCTCTTCTTTATGACTGCATCCCTAATCCAGAAAACAACAACTTTGTTATATCCAGATGATCAATTTACCATATTATCGCTACAAACTCATATTACCATTGTAGGAGAGTCAAACCATCCTTTCAAAATAATTTTTTTAAATTATAGACATTGTTGACCATCACACATCATGCATTTATGAATTGTAAAGAAACTTGTCTCACCAATATTTTAGAATCATAACTCGAAATCATACATCATGCAGCTAGGATATTAGACAGAAAACTGAATCACCAGTACTACATCAAAATTTTTTTTTCAATGAGTTTATTAAATAGAAACAAGAGGTAGTCATGACTCCCCTGATTGAACTTCAACATAGCGAATCATCGAGAAGAGAATGAAAATCACAATGTATATAAAAAATAAAAATTATGCAACAACATCCATCTATAAATTATATTATTAATTTTATTGTTGTTTATGGTATGAAAGGGCACGACTATTACATAATTAAAACAAAACCTACTGACTTTAAAGGAATTGTAAATTACATTAAAACATAAGAGCAGTTGGTAAACATCAAAATTATCTTTGTATAATTAAAATATACCAGTGAAAAGTTATTTGCTAGAAGGGGAATTTCTATAAATATAATTAATTCTGATATGTGGTAAAAGGTCACCAGCATGAACCGCAGAAACCTTTACCTTTATATGGAGCCATCGTGAACTCCTTAAATTAAAACATGTACATAAAAACCGTTTAAATTGATAAAAATTGTACCATTTTAACTTAAAATATTAAAATTAAGTTTAAAGGTTTTATACATTATATTTCAGCTTTTCATACATATTTTTGTGTATATGTACTTTATGGTATTTCATATTACTGTACTTTAAAACGACATGCTCAATGAGTTTTTTAAGTTATTATTCCTTCTAATTATCCACATTTTCCCTGAAAGTATGATTTTCATTGTAAGAAGGCATGACCACTTGCCTAAAAAGTCCCACTTCTAGTTAAATAATTGTTTATTTTTTACACTAAATAATGAAACAAGCCTTCTCCCGATATTTTAAAATAAAGATTATTAAAATAATAAAACTAATTAAAGAAGAAAAATTAAAATACTTACGGAAAAATTTAAGAATAGAAGTCGGAACGACTAGGATATAGATAAGAGTGAAAATTCAATATGGTCGCCGTTGTCTTTTCAGAGCGTTTCATCAAATGTGACGTCACCAAGATTAAACTGGTTAACTACGTCCGAACAATTCTTTGTACAACTTTTAAACTTATCGTCTACATAATTAATACTTTTAAAAAACATGTTCATTTTTAATTTGTCTTTTGTATACTTGGCATACTTATAAAAATTATAGGAAAGGTTAAAAAAATGCATAAGTAGGATTTCAATTTGAGAAATATTTTATTTAATTAATTGAAAGATATTAATTGGTCAAGCGGACCACGAAAACTAGTGAATTTAATAAGTTAAAATGAAGTATACCTTCATTAAAGCTCTCCGTGGCCATTTCATTTGTCGCCGAGAATCAAATAGATTTCACGACATTTTAAAAACATAAAAAAGGATGGAAAATTCAAAAGATGAGGTTGAGATAGGAAGTTAGTGTCCGAGTGGATCGAGGTCACGACAGCTCAAGTGGTAGAGCAGCAGCGTATCTAGCCGAAGATCATGGGTTCGAATCCCGCTCGGACAATGACTTTTTTATCTCAACTAAAAACCTTCATTAATTGAAAGATATTAATTGGTAAAGCTGACCACGAAAACTAGTGAATTTTATTTAATATAGAACTTTCAAAATATATGTTCAGTACAAGTCAGACACGTGACTAGTTCGGAGATCTGCTGTTGAAATGGTGATTTGATGCTGAATAGTTTAAATCAGCATTTACTTAGTTGACTACTGGGATAATCATGATATAATATCTCAACCCGAAGAGTAAAAATTTACCTGGAAGATCTTAGGATGGAGGGTTGATATCTACCATTTCACCCCCTGAAGTTGATCGGATTATATTTCCTTACATCCAGCTGACCCTCACTCCGGGGCGATTAACTCATGGCGGGTTCTCGGGATGGGAATGTGTAGATAGGGCCTAAGGAGGGTAAACATAGATCGAGTGGTTGGTGTGAAACTTTGGGAATCGGGAATGAATCACATCGTTAACAAGTATGTTGAGGTCGTTGTAGATAGTGAGGTTAATTATGTAGAAAGGAGTTCGGGGTAGAGAGGGAAGTAGGGACAGAAAAACATTTTTATATGAGGAGATGCCTGCTTTGAGGTAAAAGGAGCCGACAATGGGAAAGAATGGGTTGCTTTACTCTCTTAGCAACAATGTTTTTTAATCCCAGGCCCTGAAGATGATTTCAGTAAAGATAGAAACGTTGGCACGATAAAGGAAATGTTTTTCTAAAACCTACGTCACATCAGACCGCATCTCACGATCTCCAAATAATCATTAACTAACGGTCACTAAACACTACACATTGCTTTGTATGTTAAATCTGTTAAATTGCAAAAATATTTTTAATTCTTAATTCCATTATAAATGTTGACTTTTTTATCATTGAAAATTTAAAAATTATATATTAGACATAAATATCTAAAATATAAAAATCCAGAGAAAACAATATGTTTTTACCTATGTTTTTTATGATGATTAACGTAGTTGGCGAATATATTCACAAGGAGAAGACCGAGATACGAAAATTTAAAGGATTTCTTGACTAACTACAATTGGAAGACTGGGGTTTTCTCCTTTCAAGTTTCTTACGATGGGTGTTAAATACTGCCAGTTATTTTATTGCAATTATATAGATCAGTTAGTATTCGGGGATCGTAGAATACGGGGGTTGCATCGTCGGAAAGGGTTGTTCGTTTGGGATTGGACGCTCCACTTATCCTCGTTGATTATATGGGAACCGTGACCGGAATACGAAACTGATGTAAGCTAGAGATCCACTTTAAGAATTTTTCTACTACAAATATTTACATAACAAAGCCTCCTTAAATATTGCTATTGACTCGGACATTTATAAATAAAGCCTGACCAATCCCCAAAACGTGACGTACCGTTATTCACGCCAAACGAGCCACTTTTTCTATTTGTTTTAGCATTTTGTAAAGTTTTGTATAAAAATGTTTAGAAAATATGTAATTCGTGTTTGTTTCCCTGCTAATATAAAATATACATTTTGCTACAAATTTACATTTTTCAGTCCCATAGTCAATCATTGCAATTGTGTACTTTGAATCTAGAAAATCCATGTTTTCTCATAGGCAATCATACGTTGCATAAGTTACGATTGTAAATTTATGTACAATTTATGTAACCCAAAACATACAAATTTATGACGAGTGAAACAGCTCAAGAGTTTTGAATATGGATTGTTTTTCTTTATCGAGAAAAGAATTGACTTGTAGACCACCAGTCCTTCAACAAAGGCGTATAATATACAATGCGAATGAAGCTTAAAATATGTGATTGTTTTATTGTTAGATGTGTGAAAAAGGAAAAGTCAAAGACAATTGATGAGGAAAAGTGGAATACACTTTGAGAACTTGCTGCAGTAGAGTGCTGGGGCTCGTATAATTATTAAATTATTTCAATTTTAATCCGTAGATTTCAGTATTTCATGTAATAAAAATTTCTATCATCAATACGATTTAAATAACCTCCCTTCTTTTAAAACCTTGATTTTCTTATAATACACACTGTGATCTACCACACACTTTGATGAAAGAAAATAACGATGTAGTTTACCAAACCTACCAATCGAAAGCTTATCAATTGACGTTGTTTTTGAGAAATTCAAAAATCACTACCACATTTTGCAACGGTGTAGTTAATTTTTGAGTTGTTATAAGATTTTCCAATGTTTGAATTTTACAGATTTGTCCCAGCGCCACTGGTCTAAAAGAGTCCAGTATATGACTTAATATTTATTCAATTTAACGAACAGAACTCTTTTTCGATTAAAAAAAGCAATGGCAGCGAAGAAACTTTTTTGTGTGAGACAAAGCCACTTTTCCGAAAAAGATCATCTTTTACATTATAGAAAATTTCGGGTTATTAGAAAACCTATTTTGCGATATTCTACTATATTAAGATACTAGTACATTCTATGATTTTTTTATTTCATAACGAACAACTCCTATTTTTATTTTTATTTCTAAATAATATCACGTTAACTTTTCAATCTGACGTTATGTCAATAAATAAATAAAGGAACCTATTTTTTAAAACATATGTTTGATCCAACAAATGTAGGTATATTGAACTTCAAAAAGCTATACGAAACAATTTTTTAAACATGTTTTTTTACTAATTTGATCCAAAAATTGACATTAACTGTACTTCAGAAAGTTATTCATTCAATAATTTGCTGTTTTTTCACTCTAAAGAAGGAAATTGACTGGACAAATTGTTGGGGGAAGTACCCTGTTTATTGGTTAAAAAATCTACATTCATCTTTAAATTTATAGTTATTCAGATATCGATTAACGGTCACTAATCTCTACACATTTAAATTTATATACAATATTATTTGATTTTATGCTCAAAACATGCATGTCATGCATTGTCAACAACTAGAAACAATAGAATTTCTATAGGTATTTTATATAATTTAAAACATTACAAAAATTAAATTTATAATTAAATAGCTCAAAGTTTGACACCTTGACACAATAAAACAATAATTTTAAACAACATTATAAATTAAACTTGTTTAATAATTTTTATAACATTGTATATATTATTTTAATCAGCATACATACTTTTTAAATCATTTCTACAACAAACTGCATTACCTTAATACATCATATGTTAAATTATACAATTTTCTAGAATAATTTACCACGTGTTCAGGGGAAAAGATAGTGTCGTATTATAATTGTTATATCGATTAAATCATTACAATTTTTAATCAAAATTGAATATGATACTATTTTAAATTTTTAAATTTTAACTGGACTAATATATTTATTAATCTATAAAATTAATATTAATTATCACTAGTATATCTATGCTTAAAATTAGTGTTTTTATTGATAATTGTACTTATTGGTTAACATTAAAGAATAAATGTTTATAACTTACATACGTCAATTTTACAAATTTTGAAAAGCATATATAATATCACATTGTTATTTGTCAGATATCATTGTTATTTGTATGAAAGATAATATATGTATTTTCAATTATTAGGAGGGACGAGCAAATATGACGTTAAAAAAATCCATTTTTTTAATTAATGTTTTTTTTCATCGTTTGGTTAAATGATTTGCAATTTTGAGCACCGGAAGCGCTCAAAAATGTTTTTGAAAAGTTTGGCCCAAAATTTTAATGTTTTTTATATACACTTTTTTATTAAACTAGGTAAACCAACCGTAATAGGACCATTATTTTAAGAGATATTAAAGAAAATTTAGAGTGATTAGGAAAAAGAATCCGAGAATTACTGGACCCCATATAATCTTTAGTTTTTGTCTGTTAAAATCTATGACAGTCATATTGACAAACCTGAAAGATTTTTTCTAATTTGCTAATTTGTTAAAACTCATATACAACTATATCAATTTTAAATTTATGTCTACTAATACTGCATAGTTAGTTCAACATTTGAGTGAGAACTTTCATAACCTTAACAATTAGACAAAAGTATAACAATCTCGTTTATAAAAGAATCTTTTTCAAAGGTTTTCATTCTTTGATTTTTTTTAGTACATAGGATTTTTAGAAAATTATAGCTCGTGGTGTTGAATGAACTCGGTCGGTACCTGCTGAATTCCTTTCCCGAATGAAATTCCGGACGTAGTGCCGTCAATCGGAATCCTTTTGTCGTAGAGCGACGGAGCCTGGAAAATTATCGCCACTGTGCCGACAATGCAAGCCAGAGAGAAAACCCACAGGAAAAACTTGTCCAAAACCATCGAAATATACTTCCAGTCCTCGACAACCTGCAGGGAAAAAATCAGTAACTTGTCAGCACAAATTTTCGTATTATATATTTCAGTTTTAGTAGCTTTATTATGGATAATTTGTTATTACACTGTTTTAGTATGTTGCACCATCCATGAAAATATCTTTAGAATACACAGTTATGCTAAAACTCAAGGCTCTCAAACAAAGATTTACATTCGCTTATTAAAAATCGCATAACAGACGCGGGTTGTGTTTAATCACTTCATGTATATGTATCGTGGGTGTGGCAAAAATAGGTAAACCATAAACGAAACTGGAGAGGATCCAACCTCTTTCCAGATAGAAGCACCTGATTTGAATGTAAATTAGTTCAGAGAATATTCTGAATATGTGATGAAGTAGGTTCCGGGTAAGTTCGTTAATTTCTCTTCACACTTTCCCACCGTCAAGGATCAAATGGATAAAGATTTCATCTTATGGAAAATATCGTATGGTTCATTAATATTGTATGACATAACTTTTACGAAACTTCCTTTTACTCAAGGTTTATCATTTTACAGCGATGCTTTGCAAAATCTGGCAGTTCTTTTAAGATTCACAAAACAAATCAAGCTACTTCTAATCAGCACTTTATTTCAAAAATGCTATACTTTTTGTTATTCAGTCTTATCATCTCTAGGCATTTTTATTCATATCAAAGATTTGAATTTTTAACAACGAACAATAAACAAAGGAACAATAAAGCCAAAAATAAAGTATATATGTTGTAATTTATTATTCCAAGTTTAAATGTATCGACCACTTTTTTACACACGAATAATCTCGGTATGTTCTGGGAAAAAAATAATTGTTATCAAAAATGGCAATTTATAAAAAGGAGGGAAAATTCGAAAGGTGGGTTGAGATGGGAAGGTGGTGTCCGAGTGGATCGAAGTCATGATAGATCAAGTGGTAGAGCAGCGGCATGTTTAGCCGAAGGTCGTGAGTTCGAATCCCGCTCGTGACACTGGCTTTTTTATTTCAACCAATACCTTACATAAAGATTAATTAATTGAAAGAAATCAATCGGACCACGAAATCTAATGGAATTAATTGTTATTTTTAATCTTTATTAATTATTACTAAGCGTTCGACCTATTTTGAATTCATCATCAGGGGAAACTATCTTAAAGATATGTACGAATTGACATTTTAAAGTTACGTATCTTCTTCATTTGGTACTAAATTTAATCTACGGATATCCCTGCTTGACTTTTTTATTTTTCTTAATAGTTGAGAGAAAAAATCAGGGTTCTATACTCCTATATTTAAGGAACGTTCAAATTCCTGTTCTGCTGTTGATTATGAATATGGTGAACAAGTGAACACTACGTTTGCAACAGTGTTACATGTTGGGACTGAGTCTATCTTCTAAGATATTTGAAATCTAGTAGAAACTTAATTATGTCAATTAGTAGACATATTTAAGATTGTTTTGCCCCGATGATGACCTCAAAATAGATCAGAAGCTTGGCCGAAAACAATAGAATTTGTGTTTTCATCTAGAACATACCGAGATCCAGATTATTCCTGTGTAATTCATTATCGAAGTAATTTTTGTCTACTTTCATATTTTTTCAAAACTATACGTTACCAACTCTCGTTGGAAGTCGTTTCCTTTAAGGAATATCCTTATGTATTTTTCCAGTTTTTGTCCCCCCTCCCCATGTTAAGCATTTATGTTGTGATTCCGTTGATGATGACAAAATAGATCGGAAGCTTGGCAGAAAACAATAGAATTTGTTTTTTTATCCAGACCATACCGAGATCCAGATTATTCCTGTGTAATTCATTATCGAAGTAATTTTTGTCTACTTTCATATTTTTTAAAAACTGTACGTTACCAACTCTTGTTGGAAGTCGTTTCCTTCAAGAAATATCCTTTTACGTTTTACCAGTTTTTGTCCCCCCCCCCATGTTATGCATTTATGTTGTAATTCCGTATGGTTAGAAACCAACTAAACTCTTTATGATAGAGATCCTAACTGTGCTGAGGAATAGCGCAAATATTCTTAAATTGCGTCGTAAATTTATCTATAAAACTATATAAACCGACATTCCAAAAGTCTCGATACTTCCGGGCAGCCAGCTAACTAAATCTCCGCTGGGGCAAGAAATTATTTTCAACTCTTTTTTCATAGTAATAAAATAGTCTTAAAAAGAACATTGGCAAAGTTGACACGATTTATCGCCGTCCACTTCAAGACGCCCGCCTTATTTTCCAGAGGGGGAGTGAGAGGAAAGGAAATAAATCGCCGAGAAAACCCTGACAGACTTGTCAAAGGCATTCTTAACGCAGATTAATTACAGAAAAAATACATTTCCTTTTTTAAAAGATGTAGCTTTCAGATTATGAAATGTTGTATAATAACTCTCCTAATCAGAATATTTGAGTCGCCCTTTCATTTTTGTTTTCAGCTCATAAAATCACTCTTGTTTGATTAGAAAAGTAGTATCGGAATTTTCTCTCCTTATTATGTAATCTTTTATTCTTGGTAATGATATTTTTCGAAACAAAGTTATTCACTAATTTGTTGATTTTTCTTTTCAATTCGACCTGATGAATAGTTAGAAGCTTGCCTTTTATTAGAAATTATCTTGAATTAAGTCTGTGCCATTATTTAATTTAACAACGTCAAACTTTTTATTATCAAAATTTACGTTCCTTTTTCCTTGTTTATAATTATGAGGAGATAAATTTATGAATTATTAATAATAACGCACAAGGTAGTTGTTAACATGTACAAGCCCCTAGCAATGTTAGGACTGAGTCGGTCTTCAAGGAAATTTGAGATCGACTGTAATAAACTTAAATATGTCAATCTTTAGACATATTTAAGATAGTTTTGCTCTGATGATGACATTAAAATATGTCCAAAGCTTAGCAGTAACAACTGCAACTGAATTTGCGTTCTTCAAGGCTAAGGGCATTTCAAAAAACGTTAAAAAATTATAAAAGCCAAATAAACTAAAACATTGTGCAATTATTGATAAAATATATTTATTTATTCGAATTAAAGAGGAATTTACAAAGCGATATTAGGCATGGATTCTTACACGAGACTAGCTTACATTGAGTCAAACCGTTCCCTTGAGATTATACTACCTTTTCTGTTTTCCCTTTACACTATCCCTCCATATCTCTTGGGTTCATCCGAATTTAGGCCATGAAATATTTATGACATTTCCGTCTCAGCGCGAGTATAAACATCGCCAAGTGGGACAACAAAAGGACTGAAAGTATGCCGGAGGCCTTCATGTTCACTCCCATGGTATTCCTTATTTGAAAATTACTGAAATATACGGGTGAATACCTGCATAAAGCTCGACTTAGGAACTCTGCTGAGTCACCACGTCCCAAATTTTATTGTAACGCATGCTATAACATTCGTCTAAAAAAGACATAAGAAAAGTCATGCTCCCTCTGCTGTAAAAACAAGACAAAGGATGTGAATAATTAAAATTTAAACTGTTTTGTTGTTGTTTTTACAATAATACCGTGTAGTAATTTTTACGTAGTTACATTTTAACAATAATTACCATTAGGAAATATGAGAGAAAATCATTACACTTTAATCAAATAACCAAAAAACCGGTTTTAATACTATATAATAGCACGGTTTTTTTTTTCAAATTGGTGCTATTGCTGTACCAGAGTGTGTGTACATCAGTGATTTATAATAATCGTATGTAAAGTGTGGTTGAGTTGAAAAGATTAGTGTCACGAGCGGGACTCGAACTACAACCTACAAATTCCCCTCTTTTTTGCCTCACAAAGAACGTGCTCGTTTCTGGATTCTCGACGAACTTAAAGAGGTCACGGGAAACTGTTAGTGAAGTATTAGGCCTTCAACTAATTATTATATATATTTTTTTTTTTTTTTTTTTTATTTTTTTTTTTTTGGAGCAGCGGCGTATTGAGCCCAATGTCGTGGGTTCGAGTCTGGCTCGAGACATTAATCTTTTCATATCAACAACCACACTTTGCATAAAATTATATACCATTGTTATATTATAGTTTAATTAACAGACTAATAAAGTTTATCGGTTTAAACTAAACTTGGAAGAATTAGAGTGCCAATTGATAAATATGAATGTTTATGAATTTCCAAATTTGTCTACTAAGTCTAAGTTCACAAAGAGAAAAATGGCCCAACAAAACCTAACAGTGCAAACAAATCCATGTTCCAAACCTCCCAAAAAAATAGCCTACAATGTAAAACATGATGGTTTGTTCACACTGGAAAGGGAGTGGTGAAGGGGAGGTAGAAGACTCAGATGAAAAAAAGTACCAGACTCTTCATTTCTCATTGAAATTTGAGAAATTGAAACATTTCTCCTCCAGTGTTACGCAATAAAACTAAAAGAACATAGTTGCTCATAAAAGTAGGTATGAAATGTGGTTGGCCACAACGTAGTTACTACTACTTTGATAGGATGACCTTTTTGGTACGGAGTCTGCAACTTTTATCTTTTCTTTTGAGTACTCAGGTTATGGACTAAAAATCAACGGACTTGTCCACAGTTTAGGTATCATTATATTGGTAGACTCTTCAGCATCGATGATCTTCTTGGTTTTGGTGCAAGACACTTTTGTATCCAATTTCACGTTTCTACCTATACGGGACCTTATAATTTCGACGAGACTACCCCCTCTCCGTCTAAAGCGGCACTAATTGTTAGAAAATTGCAATTTTCAGATTCTTACGTATACTTGTAAGACCTGCATTTTAAAGAAATATCATATTTATATTTACAAAGGAATACTCTAAAATTTTGATGATGAGACTACTCCCTCTCCCCTAAAGCGGCCATCTTGAGAAAATTGCAATGATCAGATTATTTCCTTTATTCTCTATATAAAACCTACAATTTTACAGAATTTCACGCTTTTAGCTATTCGGGAAGTACCTTATAATTTTGATGATCAGTGAGTAAGTTTGTAACAAAAATTTTTAAATCCTCCCCTTCCATGCAGGCTGAATATTAAATGCTA